CGGCGCTACAATTCTAACCTCATATGGTATTATGAATCAGAATATCAATTATTGCCGCAGCGTTCATTACTGACACTAAGCTGCTGCACCCCCCTCTGCTGCTGCTGCTGCTGCTGCACCCCTCTCTGCTGCTGCTGCTGCACCCCTCTCTGCTGCTGCGGCTGCTGCTGCTGCTGCTGCTGCACCCCTCTCTGCTGCGGCTGCTGCACCCCTCTCTGCTGCTGCTGCTGCTGCACCCCCCTCTGCTGCTGCACCCCCCTCTGCTGCTGCACCCCTCTCTGTTGCTGCACCCCTCTCTGCTGCTGCTGCTGCACCCCCCTCTGCTGCTGCACCCCCCTCTGCTGCTGCACCCCTCTCTGTTGCTGCTGCTGCACCCCTCTCTGTTGCTGCTGCTGCACCCCCCTCTGCTGCTGCACCCCTCTCTGTTGCTGCTGCTGCACCCCTCTGCTGCTGCTGCACCCCTCTCTGCTGCTGCTGCTGCACCCTTCTCTGCTGCTGCTGCTGCACCCTTCTCTGCTGCTGCACCCCTCTCTGCTGCTGCTGCTGCACCCCTCTATGCTGCTGCTGCTGCACCCCTCTCTGCTGCTGCTGCTGCACCCCTCTCTGCTGCTGCTCTTCCTGCACCTCTCTCTGCTGCTGCTCCTACTCATGCAACTCTTGCTGCTGTTGCTGCCTCTATTCATACAGCTAATTTTAGTACAAGGAGTACTTTCTGATGAGTTTGCCTCGATGTTTATGAGCCCTTGATCCGACACATGTGGGTGGGATCAAGATCCTACAAATAAACTAATAGCCACACCTCTACCACCACACTTACGAATGACCAGACCTTTGCTGGCACACGAATGAACGACTTAAAGTCAGTTTCCCCCCTTTTGATTAATATCGTAATAGGGACGTAAACAGCAGCTTTGCTTTTGTGTGATTTGACGCTATATTGCTGAATTTGCCTCTGCTGCTTGTAGGGGTCGTGTTGCGGTGCTTGTGTTGTGGTGTTTGTGTATTGTGTTTGTGTATGTGTTTGTGTTTTGAGGTGTTTTCTTTTTATTTTCTGGATTCCTGTTTTTGTGAATGTTATGTTCTCTGTATTTAATATCTTGCGATTACCAGGATTTCTCTCCACGTCCTGTTCCTCCTCTTGCTCCTTCCTGTTTCTTCCTATTTCTTCCACCTGTTTTTTTATCTTCTTTCTCCTGCGTTTGTTCCTCGGACTGTATTTTATTCGTGCCGTTTCTTCCTGCTCTGGTTCCTTCACCATCTTGGTGCTCTCCATATTCTACACAAGACTACTGGGAAAGTGAGCCATAGGGAGTCAACCTTGATGGTATACACTTTACTATGACGACTATCAGAGGGTATGGGTAGGTACTGGGAGGGTACCGAGAGGGTAGGGGTGGGTACCGGGGAGGGTTATCTTGAGGTTATCTTGAGATGATTTCGGGGCTTTAGTGTCCCCGCGGCCCGGTCCTCGACCAGGCCTCCACCCCCAGGAAGCAGCTCGTGACAGCTGACTAACACCCAGGTACCTATTTACTGCTAGGTAACAGGGGCATTCAGGGTGAAAGAAACTTTGCCCATTTGTTTCTGCCTCGTGCGGGAATCGAACCCGCGCCACAGAATTACGAATCCTGCGCGCTATCCACCAGGCTACGAGGCCCGAAAGGTTAGGGATAGGTACCGGGAAGAATTAAGTGGTGTCCGTCTGGGAACAAGATAACTGGTGCTCAAGTAGACAGCCGTGTCTGCTCCATCAGCAAGTTTGCCAAGTTTTAATTCCAGGGTCGGACCTTGTTGGGAGGCATGGGGTAGGGAAGGGGAGGAGGCAAGGGGGTAGGGAGGGGTGGAAGAGTGTTTTTAATCCAAATTTATCCCATTTATCGTTTACTATTTTGTGTAAAATATTTAAAACCTAGTTGGCCAAACCCCACACGCTAGAAGATCAAGAGACGACGACGTTTCGGTCCGTTCTGGACCATTATTAAGTCAATTGTGATGAGACGAAAGGTATTTAACACCTTGCTAATATCCCCCTTGTTACCCCTTCCATCCATTCGTATAGTTGAGTGGTGTCTCCCCGTACTCTTGGCCTGTCTGGAGGACGTCTATGCCCACCACAACAGCCGAGTCAGACACAGGTGGCAGTTTGCCTGAAGCGATCAACGGCCAATATTGGTATTTGAGTGTCCCAGGGCTATCTTCTTGAGGTTATTTTGAGATGATTTCGGGGCTTAGCGTCCCAGCGGCCCGGTCCTCGACCAGGCCTCCTTTTTGTTACACACCCTCAGGAAGCAGCCCGCAGCAGATGTCTAACTCCCAGGTACCTATTTACTACTAGGTAACAGGGGCATCAGGGTGAAAGAAACATTTTTCCCATTTGTTTCCACCTCCACCTGGGATCGAACCCGGAACCTCAGGACAACGAATCCGAAACGCTGTCCACCCAGCTGTCAGGCGCCCCTCAACTACAAGCTGGGTCAAGTTGTTTAAAATAAACATCACGCTATTCAGAATTTCCAGCATTTCTTTTGTCGTTATCTATTAGCTGACTCGTTTTTCACGTGTTCAAACACCAAATTTATAAACATTATTAAAAAATGTTTGTGCATTCATAATTGAGTTTACACAGTCCGCTCCCTAATCTCTGATTAACTTAACTAATTGAACCCTTTAGGATTAGGCTTAGATTCTCGTGTTATCGGCGAGGGACATCTTGTTTAGGCCTACTTACCTTGAGATGAATTCGGGGGCTTAGCGTCCCTGCGGCCCGGTCGTCGACCAGGCCTCCTCGATGCTGGACTGATCAACCAGGCTGTTACACTCTGCTTTAGTATAACTTTCAAGTTTGGGATATTTAGGTAACCTCGCCCATATTTTACTACTTTATTCATAGCGTTATTTGTTCTTGTAGTTTTTTTTTGTGCTGCTGACAGTCTTACGGATGTTGGCAGGTTTGCTGGTGTTGGCAGTCTTGCTGGTGTTGGCAGTCTTGTGGGCGTTGGCAGTCTTGCTGGTGTTGGCAGTCTTGTGGGCGTTGGCAGGCATGGAAAGACGAACAGTAGTTTAATTCTTGTTTGGGGGGGTTGGCAAGTAGGCTGGGACTACAAGCAGACAGGTAGGTAGGTAGGCTGGATGAATGACAAGCAGGCAAGTAGCCACTCAGCCATCCAGTTAGTCAGCCTGCCTGCGGGACAGAGTCCGTGGTGATTGGTGGAGGCGAGATCAGGCAGCGAGGCCGGATGGATGGAGGAGGCCTGGGGGATTGGTGTGGGCAGGAGGGTGCCGTGCGGCCAGCGACACTCTGGGGAAATCTGGTTACGAAGAATATGGGTGCGAGCCTGCTGTCCTGCCTGCCACCCAGACTGCCTGCCACCCAGCCTGCCACCCAGCCTGCCTGCCGTCCTGCCAGCCGCCCAGCCTGCCTGCCGTCCTGCCAGCCGCCCAGCCTGCCTGCCGTCCTGCCAGCCGCCCAGCCTGCCTGCCGTCCTGCCAGCCGCCCAGCCTGCCTGCCGTCCTGCCAGCCGCCCAGCCTGCCTGCCGTCCTGCCAGCCGCCCAGCCTGCCTGCCGTCCTGCCAGCCGCCCAGCCTGCCTGCCGTCCTGCCAGCCGCCCAGCCTGCCTGCCAGCCGCCCGGCCTGCCTGCCAGCCGCCCAGCCTGCCTGCCGTCCTGCCAGCTTCCCAGCCTGCCTGCCGTGCTGCCAGCCGCCCAGCCTGCCTGCCTGCCTGCCATATATCTGGCCTCTGTACCAAGTCATCTCTGTAGTCGGTGTATCGGTGGTGCCCTGGACGACTCCAGTAGCGTTAAGAAAGATTCCCTCCCATCAAGGCACCGGTCCAGGAAATGCAAGACAAAATGTAGTGAGCTTTTGCCATGTTGTAAAACTTAGATCAGCGTTCTTTCTGGCTATAAGTCCAGCAAAGTGTTCTTTGTAGTCTTTTAAAGGCGTCGTCTGTTATGCCATTTCAAAAATCACTTTCCTGGGAGGGGGTAGACCCCCCTTCACCTCCCTGGGAGGGGGGTAGCCCCCCATCACCTCCCTGGGAGGGGGGTAGCCCCCCATCACCTCCCTGGGAGGGGGGTAGCCCCCCATCACCTCCCTGGGAGGGGGTAGCCCCCCATCACCTCCCTAGGAAGGGGTAGACCCCATCACCTCCCTGGGAGGGGGTAGCCCCCCATCACCTCCCTGGGAGGGGGTAGACCCCATCACTTCCCTGGGAGGGGGTAGATCCCCTTCACCTCCCTGGGAGGGGGTAGACCCCCCTTCACCTCCCTGGGAGGGGGTAGACCCCCTTCACCTCCCTGGGAGGGGGTAGACCCCCTTCACCTCCCTGGGAAGGGGTAGACCCCCTTCACCTCCCTGGGAAGGGGTAGACCCCCATCACCTCCCTGGGAGGGGGGTAGCCCCCCATCACCTCCCTGGGAGGGGGGTAGCCCCCCATCACCTCCCTGGGAGGGGGGTAGCCCCCCATCACCTCCCTGGGAGGGGGTAGCCCCCCATCACCTCCCTAGGAAGGGGTAGACCCCATCACCTCCCTGGGAGGGGGTAGACCCCATCACTTCCCTGGGAGGGGGTAGATCCCCTTCACCTCCCTGGGCCGTCCAAGTGGTTGGGCACCATTCCTTCCCACTTCCCCGTCCCATCCCAAATCCTTATCCTGACCCCTTCCAAGTGCTATATAGTCGTAGTGTCTTGGCGCTTTCCCCTTGAAAATGCCCCATAGTCCCTGGGAGGGGGTAGACCCCCCTTTCCCTCCCTGAGAGGGTTAATCCCACTTGTCTTTTCTGAGAGGACTGAACCCTATTCCCCTCTCTGAGAGAGCGCGAGCCAGAGCTGCCTTTTTCAAATAGTGAAAACCTGTGTAAGCTAACTCGCAGATGCATTCAGGAGGAAGTTCACGTTCGCCAGCTGACTTATATTGAAGTTAATGCCGGGCTCCAGCTTCGTGGTCTGTTGGTAAAATGTTGAGTGCGCAGCTGGATGTTGAGGAGAAGGGGGGGGGATGATGAGTCAGGGGGAGGCACGTCCATATTCCCTCACTCCCTACATCGTGTCGAAGTGTCCGGTGCCTTTGTCGTCGTCGTCGGCAGCCATACCATCACCCGCCATCTTTGTCGTCTTCGTCGTCGTCATCGTCCTCATCACCGTGGCCAGATCTGCCCCGTATGATGAGATGGTTGATGTGGGCCATCGTCCGCCTCACTATCGGACACATACCCATGGTTACGTGCCGGACTGTAGGCTTAGTGCAGGGGCAGCGTAGTGTCCAAGATGCTGTACACCTGCTGGCACTCCGTCCGTCTTATCTTGCTGGGGTGCCGAGTCAACATAGTGTCTTCCCTCTCCTGTCGGTGTGGTGACAATACTTGCTCTCCGCGCAATGGAAAGCTTGCTTTGATTCAAGCTGCAGGCATTCTTTGCTTGTGTGTATGTGTATATATATATATATATATATATATATATATGTCGTACCTAATAGCCAGAACGCACTTCTCAGCATACTATTCAAGGCCCGATTTGCCTAATAAGCCAAGTTTTCATGAATTAATGTTTTTTCGTCTACCTAACCTACCTAACCTAACCTAACCTAGCTTTTTTGGCTACCTAACCTAACCTTACCTATAAATATAGGTTAGGTTAGGTTAGGTAGGGTTGGTTAGGTTCGGTCATATATCTACGTTAATTTTAACTCCAATAAAAAAAATTGACCTCATACATAGAGAAAAGGGTTGCTTTATCATTTCATAAGAAAAAAATTATAGTAAATATATTAATTCAGGAAAACTTGGCTTATTAGGCAAATCGGGCCTTGAATAGTAGGCTGAGAAGTGAGTTCTGGCTACTAGGTACGACATATATATATATATATATATATATATATATATATATATATATATATATATATATATATATATATATATATATATATATATATATATATATATATATATATATATATATATATATAATATATATATATATATATATATATATATATATATATATATATATATATATATATATATATATATATTATATGTCGCACCTAGTAGCCAGAACACAATTCTCTGCCTACTATGCAGGACCCGATTTGCATAATAGGCCGAGTGATTTTCTTTATTTTCAATAAATTGTTTCCAATTAGTTTATTTGAATTATTATTATTATATTAGGAAAATAAAATTTTCACTTAATTGTGTTAGTTTAGGTTAGGTTAAGATAGGAAAGGTTAGGTTAGGTAGGGTTGGTTAGGTTCGGTCATATATCTACGTTAGTTTTAACTCAAATTAAAAAAAGATAACTCATCCATAATGAAATGGATAGCTTTATCATTTCATAAGAAAAAAAATATTGAAAAATATATAAATTCAGGAAAACTTGGCTTATTAGCCAAATCAGGCCTTGCATAGTAGGCCGAGTACGACGTTCTGGCTACTAGGTACTATATATATATATATATATATATATATATATATATATATATATATATATATATATATATATATATATATATATATATATATAGTACCTAGTAGTATATATATATATATATATATATATATATATATATATATATATATATATATATATATACACACACACATATATATATATACACACATATATATATATATACACACACACACACACACACACACACACACACACACACACACACACACACACACACACACATGATAAAATGTGTGCGCGCGTAGACGCACGCACACAAGCGTGCACATACAGCACAACTAGGTGAGTACGCACACACAGATTGATGCAGTGTTAGGCAGTGATGTGGTGGAGACTGACTCTATACTCAGTTTCAAGTGTAGATATGATAGAGCCCAGTAGGCTCAAAAACCTGTACACCAGTTAATTGACAGTCGAGAGACGAGACCAAAGAGCCAGAGCTTAACCCCCGCAAACACAACTAGGTGAGTAAACACACACACACACAAATTCTTTTTTTAGATATATTCACTTTTAGATTTAGATATATAGATTTTTAGATATATTTAGATATATTAGATATTCGATATATTCACAGCTCGTGCTGTGAATATATCGTAGCACCGTTCCTTCTAGTACTGTATAACTCTAATATATTCTCAACATGCCTTTAGGGTGAGGTAGAAACATATTTGTATGGGATATTATAGATTTTTATAGTAAAAAAATAAAATTTTTTAAATAAGTCTTTAACACGTGAATCGGGGAGGGGGGTGTGTTTTGGAAGTGGCTCGGTAGTGATGGTGGGAGGGAGTTCGGGAGGGAGAAGTGAAGGAGACACACTCAAAAGTAGGGAGGCACGATTGAAAGATGGAATGTGGAGGGAGGTAGGGAGGGACGGGGTGATAATATACATTCAGGCCAAGATAACTCATACAAATGAGGTTACTGGTGTGTATATGACAGTGCTGTTAATGTCGGTATTCCCAGCTCACTCCCCAGGTCCTTCACCCTTAGTGGATCAGAACCACCCCTTAACTACCTCAATATTGTCTAACGTATCCGGCGTTGTGTCGCACTCAGCGCTGCGAACAAGGCCGTTAGTGTTTAATGAGGAAACAGAAACAACGGCTGGAAAGTCAAACTTAGGTTATTTTCCTGATAAGAGGTTGTCCGCGTTTTAGAGTAGTTTAGGAGCATTGTTAGATCCTAGTAAAGAGAGTGAAGGGCGTCCCACAGCCTGCTTGATCACTCCAGCGGGAATGTTCTACCTCGTTACGCTCTCTCCTGGTTAATGTTCTGTTACGTCACTATCATCCTTGTGCTGATGGTAGTGGAGGTGGTGCGGCTTATTAGTGAGTGCTATTAGGTGAGTTCGGCCTCTTCATTCCCCGCCTTCTAGCTGTGTCGTACCGATTGGGTTGCAGTTTTAACTATTCTGACGTTCGAAATCTGTATCGATTCTGGCTTTAAAGATGTGGATGGAGGTGGCTTCCACAACTTCTTTCAGTGCATTTAACTAGCCGGAGTGTGATGGAAAGTCTTACATTTCTTTCACGCATAATGAGGTGGGTGGCGGCGATCCCACACAAGCACTTCGAGCATGCACGCTCGCACGCACACGGACACACGCATCAAAGAGCCGAAGCTCAACCCCCACAAACACAACTAGGTGAGTACACACACACACACACACACACACACACACACACACACACACGCACACGCACACGCACGCACACGCACGCACACGCACGCACGCACACGCACGCACACGCACACACACACACACACACACACACACACACACACAGCTGAAGGAATGGTCGAACAAATGGTTGTTAGAGTTTAACCCAACCAAATGTAATGTAATGAAGATAGGTGTAGGGAGCAGGAGGCCAGATACAAGGTATCATCTGGGAGAGGAAATTCTTCAGGAGTCAGAAAAGGAAAAAGACTTGGGGGTTGATATCACACCAGACCTGTCTCCTGCAGCACATATCAAGCGGATAACATCAGCGGCATATGCCAGGCTGGCCAACATACGAACAGCATTCAGAAACTTGTGTAAAGAATCATTCAGAACTTTGTATACCACATATGTCAGGCCAATCCTGGAGTATGCAGCCCCAGCATGGAGTCCATATCTAGTCAAGGATAAGACTAAACTGGAAAAGGTTCAAAGGTTTGCCACCAGACTAGTACCCGAGCTGAGAGGTATGAGCTACGAGGAGAGACTACGGGAATTAAACCTCACTTCGCTGGAAGACAGAAGAGTTAGGGGGGACATGATCACCACATTCAAGATTCTGAAGGGGATTGATAGGGTAGATAAAGACAGTCTATTTAACACAAGGGGAACACGCACAAGGGGACACAGGTGGAAACTGAGTGCCCAAATGAGCCACAGAGATATTAGAAAGAACTTTTTTAGTGTCAGAGTGGTTGACAAATGGAATGCATTAGGAAGTGATGTGGTGGAGGCTGACTCCATACACAGTTTCAAGTGTAGATATGACAGAGCCCGATAGGCTCATGAATCTGTACACCTGTTGATTGACGGTTGAGAGGCGGGACCAAACAGCCAGAGCTCAACCCCCGCAAACACAACTAGGTGAGTACACGCACACGCACACGCACGCACACACACACACACACGCACACACTTTTGTTAGGCCAAAGCTAGAATATGCAGTTGTTGTGTGGTGCCCATATCTTAAGAAGCACATCAACAAACTGGAAAAGGTGCAAAGACATGCTACGAAGTGGCTCCCAGAACTGAAGGGCAAAAGCTACGAGGAGAGGTTGGAAGCATTGAACATGCCAAAACTAGAAGACAGAAGAAAAAGAGGTGATATGATCACTACATACAAAATAGTAATAGGAATTGATAAAATCGACAGGGAGGATTTCCTGAGACCTGGCACTTCAAGAACAAGAGGTCATAGATTTAAACTAGCTAAACACAGATGCCGAAGAAATATAAGAAAATTCACCTTCGCAAATAGAGTGGTAGACGGTTGGAACAAGTTAAGTGAGAAGGTGGTGGAGGCCACGACCGTCAGTAGTTTCAAAGCGTTATATGACAAAGAGTGCTGGGAAGACGGGACACCACGAGCGTAGCTCTCATACTGTAACTACACTTGGGTAATTACACACAAACACACACACACACACACACACACACACACACACACACACACACACACATACACACATATACACATACACACATACACACACACACGCATTTGGTTCGCAAACATTTTGAGGGAAGTTTGTAACAAGTTTTCTAGTTAACGCACACACAAAAAAATATTTTTTTCCGTGAGAGTAGCAGGAGCCGAGGGAAGGGAACATCCTCACTGCTCCCCAAGTTTCTTGTGGCAGATTACGGTACTGTTCGAGGGGTCACCCCCCACCCCCTCTAACTCACTCTCTCCCTCTCACACCTCAATCCCTCTCTCCCTCTCACACCTCAATCCCTCTCTCCCTCTCACACCTCAATCCCTCTCTCCCTCTCACACCTCAATCCCTCTCTCCCTCTCACACCTCAATCCCTCTCTCCCTCTCACACCTCAATCCCTCTCCCTCTCACACCTCAATCCCTGTCTCCCTCTCACACCTCAATCCCTCTCTCCCTCTCACACCTCAATCCCTCTCTCCCTCTCACACCTCAATCCCTCTCCCTCTCACACCTCAATCCCTGTCTCCCTCTCACACCTCAATCCCTCTCTCCCTCTCACACCTCAATCCCTCTCTCCCTCTCACACCTCAATCCCTCTTTCCCTCTCACACCTCAATCCCTCTCTCCCTCTCACACCTCAATCTCTCTCCTGGACCCAGATTCACGAAGCAGTTACGCAAGTACTTACGAACGTGTATATCTTTCCTCAATCTTTGACGGCTTTGGTTACATTTATTAAACAGTTTACAAGCATGAAACTTCCCAATCAACTGTTGTTATTGTTATAAACAGCCTCCTGGTGCTTCGGAGCTCATTAACTATTTAATCATTGTAAACAAAGCCGCCAAACATTGAGAAAAGATGTACAGGTTCGTAAGTGCTTACGTAATTGCTTCGTGAATTTAGCCCCAGATCTCCCTCTCTTACCCTTTCGTGATCTGGTTTCATTTGATGTAATCCCCGTGTTCAGATTTGGAAACAGGCCTAAAAATCAGCATGAAAATTACTTGTATAGAAAACACTGAATAACTACAAGCCGATATTAATAAAGGCTTCGATGGTAACGGGTAAAAAATGTAGTTTAACAGTGATATGTTCCCGTTATTTAGGTATGATGGAAATGAAGAACTAAAACTAAATACAAGGTACAAGACACACTCAGACCTATTCATAGAATGAAAACATGTAAAATATCTGGGAATTACGATATATGACGACCTGACATTTAGTGAACGTAACCAAGCAATTATAGCGGCAGCCAGAAAAATGAAAAGATGGATTATGAAAACCTTAAAATCTACAAATTCCACCACAGTGCTAATACTGTGTCAATTGCTGGTGCTCTCCTGCCTTGAATACTGTTCGGTATTCACTTCTTCTTTCAGAGTAAAAATGATCGCTGAAATAGAGGGAATACAGAGAACATATACGGCTCGGATAGACACTATAATGCAACTAAATTATTGGGGTTTAAGCAGTCTAAATGTGCTCTCTGCAAAGGAGACGAGATTGGTATCAAATAATACATGCATTGAAGATGCTGGAAGGCCAGGTCCCAAATTTGTACAGTAAAATAACATATTGGAGCAAATAATGTGAAAGGAAACGCAGAATGCAACCAGTGAAGAGTAGAGGTGCCATAGGCACCATCAGAGAACACTGTATGAACATCAGATGTCCTTGGCTTGTTCAGTACCCTCCAAACAAGCATAAGAAATATTGCCGGAACAAATAAGTTTTCCAAGAAGCATTTAGATAAGTTCCTGCAAGAAGTAACGGACCAACCGGGTTATAGTAGATATGAGGGGCCTGAGGAACCTATGGCCTGTTGGACCACATCCCAACTCAAGTGTGATCCCGGGCCGGGCGTAGAAACACTCCTGGAACCCTCTCCCGGTAAATTGTAATGTTAAGTAACACTCATGCTGGTGTACTAACCAGGAGCCAGATGTGTGCCAGAGTCTTCATGTTGTCGACTACCTTCATTTCACACATGTCTACGTGTTAAGTAAACATTCCAAATAAGACTCAGCCTTGGAGTGAATGATGGCTGATGTAGTAATGTCCTTGAGAATGACACAAGGAGGATAAAGCTGTAATGGCTGACCTAGAGTTGTGGTGGTCCCCATCTGGTTGTCCACAACGATGGAAGAGGGACGGCCCCTTAAGAACACTGGTTGTATACACAGCAATAAGACCTTCGACATCTCTCCGGTGTTGAAGCCTCTGATATGCCGACCAATCCCCTATGGGTATGTGGACCTGTGGGCCGCTCCAAGCAACAGCCTAGTAGACCAAACTCTCTCAAGTCAAGCTTGGCCTCGGGCCAGGCTTGCAGAAGAACAAGCAGAAGAACTTCTGTTTCTGCTTCTGCAGATGAACTCCCAGAACCCCATCAACCAGGTATCAACCAACCGCAATGGGTCAAGACTTTAACCGAGTCATTCCCACTGTTCTCCACCTTGTCCAGAATTCGAATGGGGGAAAGGGGGAGGGGATTAAGCCATTCAGGAAAGCAGTGTATACTCATGATGTACTTCATATAAAATTTCGCAACCCCAGCTGTCTGTCGAGAAGAGATGTACCTTAATAGAGCTATAAATTTCTCGCCTGCCTTGCTCGCTAGGTTCAACACGTGGCTCTCCAAGCTCATTAAAAATTCAGACTTCATCCGCAAGATGTTAACGTGAGCTAGTTGCTGGATGGTTGTGAAAGAAAAAAAAAAGGTTGAAAGAAAGAGGAGAAGGGCGAGAGAAGGAAGGGTAGAGGGAGAGAGTAAGTAGGAACGGAAGGGGAGAGGGGGGCACTGAATGAAGGAGATGGAAGGCGCTCAGAAAAATAGGGCGGAAAGTTGAAAAGCAAGATGGAAGGTGGGCAGAACGGATAGGTAAGCAGAGAGGTAAATAGCTAGGAAGGTAGGTAAACAAGGATGTAAATGCTAGGAAGGTAGGTAAACAAGGATGTAAATGCTAGGAAGGTAGGTAAGCAAGGATGTAAATGCTAGGAAGGTAGGTAAGCAAGGATGTAAATGCTAGGAAGGTAGGTAAGCAAGGATGTAAATGCTAGGAAGGTAGGTAAGCAAGGATGTAAATGCTAGGAAGGTAGGTAAGCAAGGATGTAAATGCTAGGAAGGTAGGTAAGCAAGGATGTAAATGCTAGGAAGGTAGGTAAGCAAGGATGTAAATGCTAGGAAGGTAGGTAAGCAAGGATGTAAATGCGAGGAAGGTAGGTAAGTAAGGATGTAAATGCTAGGAAGGTAGGTAAGTAAGGATGTAAATGCTAGGAAGGTAGGTAAGCAGGAAAGTAAATCTCTTAAATACTTAGAAATAAATCCTCTCCCAGCAAGAGACAAAGGTTATCCTGGGCTCTGTGATATCACTCTCATAACCAGAATCAAGATAGCGGCTTGCCTGTGGGAAGAAGCATAGAAGGGAACGAAGAAGATAAAAGGCTAGAGGGAAAGCAGGTGGCCGAGGGGAGGGAGATAAGTGGAAGATAAGGGAGTTGAACAAGTCACCCTGGAGAGGTGTGCTGGGCCGTACTGATAAGCTCCCTGCATCAAACGGGGAACCTCGGGTAAAACTCTACGGAAGATGATCACCGATTTTCACTTAGTTGACTTTCAGGGGATGATGTAATACAAATTTGTACTCTTGTATTTTGTGCCTGCAAGGTTGAGCATTGGCTCTTGGATCCCGCCTTTCTAGCCATTTGTTGTTTAAAGCAATGTGTGTGTGTGTACTCACCTAGTTGTGCTTGCGGGGGTTGAGCTTTGGCTCTTTGGTCCCGCCTCGCAACCGTCAATCTACTGGTGTGTGTATTCACCTAGTTGTGCTTGCGGGGGTTGAGCGTTGCTCTTTCGGCCCGCCTCTCAACTGTCAATCAACTGTTTACTAACTATTTTTTCCCACGCCACACACACGCCAGGAAGCAGCCCGTGACAGCTGACTAACTCCCAGGTACCTATTTACTGCTAGGTAGTAGGGGCATTCAGGGTGAAAGAAACTTTGCCCATTTGTTTCTGCCTGCTGCAGAAACAGCAGTTGGACAGCTGTAAGCGTGAATGATATATTAGTAATGTATATTTTGAAATGAAGAAACGCTCCAATTTATGTTCTGTATTAAAAACGAAATTTCCTGTTGTAACGTACAGTCTTTCTTGAGGTACTGTATAAAATGTATACAACACACAGACTACACAATGTATAGTCAGAACATTATATACAGCACCTTGAGAAAGGGTGTAGGTTACAACCGAAAATTTAGTTTTAATACATTTAAACATAAATTGGGTCTTTCCTGCACCATCATTCAAGCAATATAGCATTGTCGTAAGTTTTTCCAATATATATTTTTGCACGTGGGTGTATGTGTTTTTGTATATATGTGTATATCATGTCACAGTTGAATGGTGTTGTCAAGAGTGTGTATGGTGTCGTCAAGAGTGTGTATGGTGTCGTCAAGAGAGTGTATGCTGTCAAGAGTGTATGCTGTCAAGAATGTGTATGGTGTCGTCAAGAGAGTGTATGGAATCAAGAGTGTGTATGCAAGAGATGAGTCACAATAACGTGGCTAAAGTATGTTGACCAGACCACACATTAGAAGGTGAAGGGACGACGGCGTTTTGGTCCGTCCTGGACCATTCACAAGTCGATTGTGAGAATGACTTGAGAATGGTCCAGGACGGACCGAAACGTCGTCGTCCCTTCACCTTCTAGTGTGTGATCTGGTCAACAAGAGTGTGTATGGTGTCGTCAAGAGTGTATGGTGTCAAGAGTATGGTGTCAAGAGTATGGTGTCAAGAGTATGGTGTCAAGGGGTGTGTGTGTGTTCACATGAAAGTTTTAAGTAATGCCCAACTGTTTCACGGCAAAACAAAAACTATGAGAAAGATGAAGTCACGTGACTGACAGCACTAAACCCGTCTCCATGTCTGTCACTCCACCTGTCTCCTCTCTTACCTCCTGTCTTTGTCGGCTTGTCAGTCTCCTTCGGTGTCTGTCCATGTCTCTCGAGGTCTCTAATGTACCCTTATTGTTTTGCTTCTCAATTTGTCTCTCGTCTCACATTATCTGAATTTCTTCCATTTTGTCTTTTATCGCGCCTTTCTGCACACACTTTTCTGAGTGTTGCTGCCTCTTAGTGTTTTTGGGCTATCCTTTGGCCGTTATCTGTGGGTATCGTCTCCATGCGAGGGATAGCGGTCGTCCCTGCAGCTGCCGGTACCCCCCCCCCCCTCCCCATACCTCTATCTTCTACCCCCTGCTATTCCTCACTCTGAACACTACTACTTTGTCTACCTGTCCAATTCTCCCTGATAATGTTCGTAGTTATCACGTCAGCCCTTTCCCCACCAATGCTACTCATCATGGCAATAAGACAACCTAGAAAGGGATATTATTGCACATTAACAAGGTAGGTTGTCGCTCATTCAAAGCTAAGTTGTTGATTTACATAATATGCAAATAACTTTTACCGCGCTCATCCATTCAGTAAAACGCATAAATTACCAGGAGCGCTTAAATATCCCTCAAAGTGATTTTGATGCTCTCCCCAGGTGATCCGGGGAGAGATGCCTTGTAATACGCACCTGGAGAATGATAGAGGTTATGTTGAGGTTATTTTGAGATGATTTCGGGGATTTAGTGTCCCCGCGGCCCGGTCCTCGACCAGGCCTCCACCCCCAGGAAGCAGCCCGTGACAGCTGACTAACACCCAGGTACCTATTTTACTGCTAGGTAACAGGGGCATAGGGTGAAAGAAACTCTGCCCATTGTTTCTCGCCGGCGCCCGGGATCGAACCCAAGGACCACAGGATCACAAGTCCAGCGTGCTGTCCGCTCGGCCGACCGGCTCCCTGGGGACTGGTTGAAAATCATCACACTAAAATAATTCCTTAGGAAACCGGGAGACACGGCAGAATGTGTCAAATATGTTACATCCTGCCACAATGGCTGACGAACGGTGTGAAGGGAGGAGGGGGGGAGGGAGGTATTGGGGGTGGAGGCATGGTGTTGGGGGTGGAGGGGAGGTGTTGGGGGTAGTGAGGGGGAGGGAGGAGACGAGAGGATTTCAATAGGAAATAAATTTTTAAGGAGCAGAATATAATGGGGGAAAATTTAGGTGATGGAAATTGTGGCCGAGGGAAGGGGGGGGGGTTAGTGAAGGTTGAGGAGAGATGAGGGTGTGAGGAGGTGGAAAAAGAAAGGGTTAAAAAGAGGAAATTATGCAGCTGGAAGAGGGGGCATAAGGAACAGCTATCTGTGTGTAGCTTCCTCATTACCATTCCGTTATCACGATGCCAGATGCCTCCGAAGCTGCCGGTTTTATCGAGCCAAAAACATGGGACAAATATAATGACCTATTTATGCTATCGAAGCAGTTACCTATTAGTCCTAAAGACGTGCAAATAATCACGTCTAATTATAGCATAAAGCGACCTACATGTACAGTATAGAATATAGTGTCTTGTGTGTATTTTGTCGGTGTATGAGCGTGTGTTGGGGCGAGGCAGGAACAGGCCGTGCCGGTCGGCCGAGCGGACAGCACGCTGGACTTGTGATCCTGTGGTCCTGGGTTCGATCCCAGGCGCCGGCGAGAAACAATGGGCAGAGTTTCTTTCACCCTATGCCCCTGTTACCTAGCAGTAAAATAGGTACCTGGGTGTTAGTCAGCTGTCACGGGCTGCTTCCTGGGGGTGGAGGCCTGGTCGAGGACCGGGTCGCGGGGACACTAAAGCCCCGAAATCATCTCAAGATAACCTCAAGGCCCTTTCTCTCACACACAAGCAAATCAGCATTTATTTACCAGCAAGATGATGTCAACATTGCTCATCTTGACTGTGTAGGACTGCTTGCGTGCCTGAGTGTATAGGAGGGGGTTGGAGATGGATGTGTGCACGCGCGTGAGGTTGAGGGACAGTCACATCCTATCCGAGGCATGTCTGTGGTCGAGAATATTGAATTTCCTAACCATTACCATCGTTCCTGGGAGCCCGCCACTCTCCCTAGCCGGTTCATGTCATTACAGATTTTAGATTAGTCATGCAGGTCCTGCTGGGTATTGTGGCAGATTGGAATCGATCATACAGGTCTCCGGATTTGTGGGGATTGGAATCTGTTATGCAGGTCTTGTTTGGATTTGTTGGAGATTTTTAAATAGTTTTCTTCACATACTGATATTTGTGGAATATTGCAATAGAGTTTCTAGGATCTGTGGCCATCATCGAGGATTGAAATCGACCTTCCGTGCTTCAGTGAAATTTGTGGGCGACTAATTTCATTTGAAGGTACAGTCGCGTTTGTGGTGGTTTGAAACTGGTCTTGGAAGTCCATTGGGATTTATGATGAACTGGAAATGGTAGTGACATTTCCAATGGGATTTGCGGGGGAATTGACATATAAGAACATAAGAATAAAATGTATGGACAACAGGCTTTCCATTTGAGGCCGCTCCTATTTATATATACCCAAACACGTTCATATACATGTCTAACCTACGCTTGAAACACCCCAGCTATTCCACGTCCATTATGCTACCCGGTAATTTGATCCATAAACCAACAACCTTATTTCCAAACCAATATTTTCACGGGTCTTTCCTGAATACAAAATTTAGCCACTTTATTAAAATGCTGAACAAGGGGTCGCTAAACTCTTCTTGGCATTCTTTCAACACCCCGGCAAATACCTCGTCTGGACCTGGGCACTTGTTGTTTGCTTTAGTTCTTTCTTACCAATTTCCTCTATGGTAACTACTAGTGAAAGGAATAATGTTAACGGTTTCTTTAGTAGATATAGAGGCAAAATACTTTGTTATAATACTACCTATTTCTTTGGCATTATCAGACCTGGGACTTGGGGTCATTATCGGACCTGGGACTTGGGGTCATTATCAGACCTGGGACTTGGGGTCATTATCAGACCTGGGACTTGGGGTCATATTCCAAGCTCGGGTTCGTTCTTAAATGCGCTGTCACTACTGACGGTTGACTGAAGGCTGGGGGAGGCGAGGACTAAAGAGCTACAGCTCAACCCTTCCAGCACAATTAGGCGGGTATTGATATGCAAATTTATTATTTTTCCGAGTGAAGAGTTCCTGTCCTCGGGTCCCGAGTGCCAGCAATCAGTGCCAAGCGAACGAACGATTGTCAAATACGTCGTCGACATCGCGCAAAATAATGACTATTAAACAGACCAGTCAAGGGGTCATGCGGGAGTAATGGTTGTTAAACAAAGCGTTTAGAGTTAGAGCGATTTAATGATCGTTAAACACACGGGGAGGACGAGGTGGTTCAAACAAAGGTCTTCCACACAGATCAGTGGTGTGACGCAGGTAAGTGTTTTCCACCCTGGGTCATACCTGTCGTTCAGAGCCACACCATCTTCGTGAGGTTATCTTGAGTTGATTTCGGGGCTTTAGTGTCCCCGCGGCCCGGTCCTAGACCAGGCCTCCACCCCCAGGAAGCAGCCCGTGACAGCTGACTAACTCCCAGGTACCTATTTACTGCTAGGTAACAGGGGCATTCAGGGTGAAAGAAACTTTGCCCATTTGTTTCTGCCTCGTGCGGGAATCGAACCCGCGCCACAGAATTACGAGTCCTGCGCGCTATCCACCAGGCTACGAGGCCCTACTCTACCATGGTCAGAGAATTGGTACCATCAACCACAGAAGGGGGTCTTTCACACCCCCTAGAAAGGGGGGCCTCTTGCACCCAGACAGAGGGAGAGGGGCCCACTCGCACCGCTGATTAAGAACCACTGAATTAGTGGAAAGCAATTACCCGCCATAATTCAAGTTTGCACAATACGCCTGTACTCGGACCATGCGTTCCCCTTCCGTAGACATATACCCTACAGAAGCCTTTCCTTAACCTTGTGCCCTATCTCATGAGAACCGTGGGGAACCGTGGCGTGCCCTATCCCATGATGGGCATGGGGTACCTGGGTTCGGCAGGATGGGTGCGGGCCAGATGGGGATGGTGGGGTGGGCGTAGGGTAGGTGGGGATAAAGCATGGTATATGCGCCTTATCTCGCTCCTATTCCTCATCATACATACTAGGCTAGAGTATACATACCAGTCCCGTCTATCTTTTCCTCTTCTCCAGCTCTGTATACCATCTGTATGTATATCATTTTCTTATCTGCTTTTTATCTTTCTCATCCATCTCTTCCTCTACTTACCTCTTTCTGTCAAATACCTGTCAGTTTCAATTTTTCCTCCCCATTCTTTACTTTCTTTTTAGCCAATTATTAAATTTTCTATTTACCCATTTATATTCACACCGACAAACGTTGTCTCCTAATCTACCCTCCCTTCAATCTCTTTCTATCCTCGTGGCCAATCTTTTTCCATTGTTTTAGCCCATTTCTCCTTTTCTAACCTTTTCTGTTCTGCCTAGCCTTCGTCCCTCCTCACGACCGTCTCTCCCAAGCTAGGACAGGAGACCCGGGTACACACAAATTAAAAGCTTTTAGATTTTTTCCATTTTTCACAGAAACAGTAATGCTTCTTTTTGATGCGATGGACCTTTTATAACACGTGACTCCCCGCCCCCCCCTCTCCACGGATGTAGTGGCAGGCCGATGGGAGGGGAGAGGATGGAAGGCATGAGAGGGGTTATGTGTGAGGGGAAAGATGGGAAAGTGAGGAGGGTTTTATTGTCAGGAGGTGAGGGAGCTGCAGAGGGAGAGGATGGTAGGTAGGTGGCAGTGGTATGGAATGGTGAAAGGATCTGGGAAAAGTAAGGGGGAAGGATAGTGAAGGATCTGGGGAGGATAAGGGGGCATGGTAGAGGAGGAGGGGTCGGTCCTGGTTGACTCCGACGATAGGCAAGTCTTTTTGGGTAGGAGAAAGACTGGTAGGGAGACAACGGTTACAAGTTTGTGAAGAAGTTTGATGGCATCTTTACCCCCACAAAAATATCTCTAGAATAATATTATTGTTAGAACCCTCTTGGCGGTAATTCTCCCGCCAGCAAAACATTTCTCCACTCCCCTATGCCTCTTCTCCTTGCCTCCGTCTCCTTTCCTTGCCTAGTTTCTAAGTTTCTACCACCCTGTCACCCCCCCCCCCCCTCCCTCACGCCGGCTTCACATACTTGATGGTATTGATGAGTTAGCTAAACTATGCCTTCAGAGTTGGTTATAACCTTGAATTGCTTACAACCAGCTTGAGAATAATAAACTAGAAATATCATCTAAGCTTCGAAGATCCCGGTCCAAATGAAATGGACAATACCTATGCCTTCAGGTATTGCATCTAAACAAATATGCAAGAAGCCACATGTGTATGTAACATGTGTATGCGTCGCAAGAGCCACATGTGTATGTAACATGTGTATGCGTCGCAAGAGCCACATGTGTATGTAACATGTGTATGCGCCGCAAGAGCCACATGTGTATGCGTCATTAATTATAATCAGGAGACTCCGCTTGACGCTGCTGCTCGACATAGGTTCGACTACGTCATCACTTGGGTTTTGCGTTACGGCCACAACACAGCAGGGGCGTCGCCAGACGGCCACAACACAGCAGGGGCGTCGCCAGACGGCCACAACACAGCAGGGGCGTCGCCAGACGGCCACAACACAGCAGGGGCGTCGCCAGACGGCCACAACACAGCAGGGGCGTCGCCAGACAACCACAACACAGCAGGGGCGTCGCTAGACGGCCACAACACAGCAGGGGCGTCGCTAGACGGCCACAACACAGCAGGGGCGTCGCCAGACAGCAACAACACAGCAAAGGCGTCGCTAGACAACCACAACACAGCAGGGGCGTCGCCAGACAGCCACAACACAGCAGGGACGTCGCTAGACAGCCGCAACACAGCAGGGACGTCGCTAGACAGCCGCAACACAGCAGGGACGTCGCCAGACAGCAACAACACAGCAGGGGCGTCGCCAGACAACCACAACACAGCAGGGACGTCGCCAGACAACCACAACACAGCAGGGACGTCGCTAGACAACCACAACACAGCAGGGGCGTCGCTAGACAGCCGCAACACAGCAGGGGCGTCGCTAGACAGCCGCAACACAGCAGGGGCGTCGCCAGACGGCCACAACACAGCAGGGGCGTCGCCAGACGGCCACAACACAGCAGGGGCGTCGCCAGACAACCACAACACAGCAGGGGCGTCGCTAGACGGCCACAACACAGCAGGGGCGTCGCTAGACGGCCACAACACAGCAGGGGCGTCGCCAGACAGCAACAACACAGCAAAGGCGTCGCTAGACAACCACAACACAGCAGGGGCGTCGCCAGACAGCCACAACACAGCAGGGACGTCGCTAGACAGCCGCAACACAGCAGGGACGTCGCTAGACAGCCGCAACACAGCAGGGACGTCGCCAGACAGCAACAACACAGCAGGGGCGTCGCCAGACAACCACAACACAGCAGGGACGTCGCCAGACAACCACAACACAGCAGGGACGTCGCTAGACAACCACAACACAGCAGGGGCGTCGCTAGACAGCCGCAACACAGCAGGGGCGTCGCTAGACAGCCGCAACACAGCAGGGGCGTCGCTAGACAGCCGCAACACAGCAGGGGCGTCGCTAGACGGCCACAACACAGCAGGGGCGTCGCCAGACAGCAATAACACAGCAAAGGCGTCGCTAGACAACCACAACACAGCAGGGACGTCGCCAGACAACCACAACACAGCAGGGACGTCGCTAGACAACCACAACACAGCAGGGGCGTCGCTAGACAACCACAACACAGCAGGGACGTCGCCAGACAACCACAACACAGCAGGGACGTCGCTAGACAGCCGCAACACAGCAAGGGCGTCGCTAGACAGCCGCAACACAGCAGGGGCGTCGCTAGACAGCCACAACACAGCAGGGGCATCGCTAGACAGCCACAACACAGCAGAGGCGTCGCTAGACAACCACAACACAGCAGGGACGTCGCTAGACAGCCGCAACACAGCAGGGGCGTCGCTAGACAGCCGCAACACAGCAGGGGCGTCGCTAGACAGCCGCAACACAGCAGGGGCGTCGCTAGACAGCCGCAACACAGCAGGGGCATCGCTAGACAGCCACAACACAGCAGGGGCGTCGCCAGACGGCCACAACACAGCAGGGGCGTCGCTAGACGGCCGCAACACAGCAGGGGCGTCGCCAGACGGCCACAACACAGCAGGGGCGTCGCCAGACAGCCGCAACACAGCAGGGGCGTCGCTAGACAACCGCAACACAGCAGGGGCGTCGCTAGACAGCCGCAACACAGCAGGGGCGTCGCTAGACAGCCGCAACACAGCAGGGGCGTCGCTAGACAGCCGCAACACAGCAGGGGCGTCGCTAGACAGCCACAACACAGCAGGGGCGTCGCTAGACAGCCACAACACAGCAGGGGCGTCGCTAGACAGCCACAACACAGCAGGGGCGTCGCTAGACGGCCACAACACAGCAGGGGCGTCGCCAGACGGCCACAACACAGCAGGGGCGTCGCCAGACGGCCACAACACAGCAGGGGCGTCGCCAGACGGCCACAACACAGCAGGGGCGTCGCCAGACGGCCACAACACAGCAGGGGCGTCGCCAGACGGCCACAACACAGCAGGGGCGTCGCCAGACGGCCACAACACAGCAGGGGCGTCGCCAGACGGCCACAACACAGCAGGGGCGTCGCCAGACGGCCACAACACAGCAGGGGCGTCGCCAGACGGCCACAACACAGCAGGGGCGTCGCCAGACGGCCACAACACAGCAGGGGCGTCGCCAGACGGCCACAACACAGCAGGGGCGTCGCCAGACGGCCACAACACAGCAGGGGCGTCGCCAGACGGCCACAACACAGCAGGGGCGTCGCCAGACGGCCACAACACAGCAGGGGCGTCGCCAGACGGCCGCAACACAGCAGGGGCGTCGCCAGACGGCCGCAACACAGCAGGGGCGTCGCCAGACGGCCGCAACACAGCAGGGGCGTCGCCAGACGGCCGCAACACAGCAGGGGCGTCGCCAGACGGCCGCAACACAGCAGGGGCGTCGCCAGACGGCCGCAACACAGCAGGGGCGTCGCCAGACGGCCGCAACACAGCAGGGGCGTCGCCAGACGGCCGCAACACAGCAGGGGCGTCGCCAGACGGCCGCAACACAGCAGGGGCGTCGCCAGACGGCCGCAACACAGCAGGGGCGTCGCCAGACGGCCGCAACACAGCAGGGGCGTCGCCAGACGGCCCGCAACACAGCAGGGGCGTCGCCAGACGGCCGCAACACAGCAGGGGCGTCGCCAGACGGCCGCAACACAGCAGGGGCGTCGCCAGACGGCCGCAACACAGCAGGGGCGTCGCCAGACGGCCGCAACACAGCAGGGGCGTCGCCAGACGGCCGCAACACAGCAGGGGCGTCGCCAGACGGCCGCAACACAGCAGGGGCGTCGCCAGACGGCCCGCAACACAGCAGGGGCGTCGCCAGACGGCCGCAACACAGCAGGGGCGTCGCCAGACGGCCGCAACACAGCAGGGGCGTCGCCAGACGGCCGCAACACAGCAGGGGCGTCGCCAGACGGCCGCAAAAACAGCAGGGGCGTCGCCAGACGGCCGCAACACAGCAGGGGCGTCGCCAGACGGCCGCAACACAGCAGGGGCGTCGCCAGACGGCCGCAACACAGCAGGGGCGTCGCCAGACGGCCGCAACACAGCAGGGGCGTCGCCAGACGGCCGCAACACAGCAGGGGCGTCGCCAGACGGCCGCAACACAGCAGGGGCGTCGTCGCCAGACGGCCGCAACACACAGCAGGGGCGTCGCCAGACGGCCGCAACACAGCAGGGGCGTCGCCAGACGGCCGCAACACAGCAGGGGCGTCGCCAGACGGCCGCAACACAGCAGGGGCGTCGCCAGACGGCCGCAAACACAGCAGGGGCGTCGCCAGACGGCCGCAACACAGCAGGGGCGTCGCCAGACGGCCGCAACACAGCAGGGGCGTCGCCAGACGGCCGCAACACAGCAGGGGCGTCGCCAGACGGCCGCAACACAGCAGGGGCGTCGCCAGACGGCCGCAACACAGCAGGGGCGTCGCCAGACGGCCACATTGCTGCCGGAATTCCTGGAAAATCGAGAATACTGGAGTTAGGCTGCTCAGGCAGTTCAATAGTTTTTGAAAGTGCCGAGAAAAGTTAAATTATTGAGAGTTACTGCGGATCCCTAAGGTGCACGATACGCCCAGAACAGTAGCCAGCCACTGTTGCTGTGTTGGAATACTGTGTGGCCCTGACCTCTTGCTTGCCCCCTGCCCTCTTGCTTGCTTCCTGCCCTGTAGCTTGCCCCCTGCCCTCTTGCTTGCTTGCTTCCTGCCCTGTAGCTTGCCCCCTGCCCTCTTGCTTGCTTGCTTCCTGCCCTGTAGCTTGCCCCCTGACCTCTTGCTTGTTCTCCTGTCCTCTTGCTTGCTCCGTGTCCTCTTGCTTGCCCTCTTGCCTGCCCCCCTGTCCTCTTGCTTGCTCCGTGTCCTCTTGCTTGCCCTCTTGCCTGCCCCCCTGTCCTCTTGCTTGCCCGTGCCCTCTTGCTTGCTTCCTTCCCTGTAGCTTGCCCCTGCCCTCTTGCTTGCTCACTATCCTCTTGCTTGCTCCCTGCCCTTTTGCATTCCCCTTGCGCTCTTGCTTGCCCCCTACCCTCTTGCTTGCCCCCTGCCCTCCTGCTTGCCCCTCTCCCCTGCCCCGCTTACTCCCTGCGGGGCGATGTCTGCGTGAGAGGGAAAAAGGTAATTAAGATTGACCGATTGATTAATCCTTCAGGAAGCTAGATGGTTGATCCCTCTCCTACCCAGTACCGACTGGTGGACACCACTACCCCCCCTCTCTCTCTCTCTCTCTCTCTCTCTCCTCTCTCTCTCTCCTCTATCTTCTCTCTCTCTCTCTCTCTCTCTCTCTCTCTCTCTCCTCTCTCTCTCTCTATCTCTCTCTCTCTCTCTCTCTCTCTCTCTCTCTCTCTCTCTCTCTCTCTCTCTCTCTCTCTCCTCTCTCTCTTCCTCTCTCTCTCCTCTCTCTCTCTCTCTCTCTCTTCTCTCTCTTCTCTCTCTCTCTCTCTCTCTCTCTCTCTCTCTCTCTCTCTCTCTCTCTCTCTCTCTCTCTCTCTCTCTCTCTCTCTCTCTCTCTCTCTCTCTCTCTCTCTCTCTCTCTCTCTCTCTCTCTCTCTCTCTCTCTCTCTCTCTCTCTCTCTTCCTCTCTCTCTCTCCCTCTCTCTCCTCCTCTCTCTCCTCCTCTCCCCCCCTCTCTCCCCCCCTCTCTCTCCCTCTCCCCCCCCTCTTCTCTCCCTCTCTCCCCCCCTCTCTCTCCCTCTCTCTCCCCCCCTCTCTCTCCCTCTCTCCCCCCCTCTCTCCCCTCTCTCCCCCCTCTCCCCCCCTCTCTCTCCCCTCTCTCTCCCTCCCTTTCCCTCCCTCACTCTATCTGTCATTCTCTTACACATACTCGGGCCGCTCCAAGCAACAGCCTGGTGGACCAAACTCTCACAAGTCAAGCCTGGCCTCGGACCGGGCTCGGGGAGAAGAAGAACTCCCCAAACCCTATCAAGCAGGTACTCCACTTTTAGGTTTTTAAACAAGAATAATACAATTAAAATGGATCATCTTGTGTAGGGAATAGTGTTGCGACCTCTACTGCGACCTCTAATCGCCTAACGAATTATTTCCTTTGAATAAAACGGATAAAGCAGGGACGGTAGGCGACAAGACAGATAAACGAATAAAATAGGAGGGAATAGGGTAATGGAAAGGGAGGAAAATTAGGATAAATAGGTTAATGCCTGAACAGCGAGAGAAGGGAGGGCCTAATCTGGATTGAGATGAAGATAGCCGAGGATGGTGTTGGATGGAATATTATTTTGGAAAGACTGTTGTTGGTGGAGATTGTTTGAGGAGTTTGTCAAATTTAAGTGGTGTGGAAGCGATACCTGGAAGGGACTCGGATAAGTGGAGTTAAGGACTAGAGGATAGAAGTTGAGGATTGTAGGATAGAAGATGAGAATAAGAGGATGGGTGAGGACAGAAGGATCACCAGGGCAGCCTGACCCTACGTAAGGCAACAAGAGCAGGGGTATAGAATCGCCACTATTTTAAAATAGTCCCATGAAGGTAGTTTTATTGCTAGTCCCTGTGAGTAGCCCTATCCCAATCCTTAACCCCTATTCCATATCCTTCATAGCCCTATCAAGAAGCTTCCTGTATACAGTTCCTATACAATGCCTCTAAAAGATAACTGGACAGAAAGTTACCGTAGAATCCACAATAGTCGCCCCTGGAGACCTTCGCAAAAACCCCTGGGGGGGGAGAGATTCCTTGTTAGAAGTTATTAAGAGTTCTTTGTTGAGGAGGGAGGAGGGGGGGGGGGGTTGGCATGGGGTCCAGTCGTTAATGTTGGACCGCTAATCGGCAAGAGGTCATTCAGGTCCAGTCATCGTCCAATAACTTACAGTGGTCGTCACTATTGTTGTAATGGGTGTGTTTGATTTGGGGTGATGGACCATAGTCACGAGGGCTGATGTTGACTCTCTCCTACCTGCCCGTCTCGCCTGATTTTATCTTTCTCCTCTCTCTCCCCCCTCCCCCCTGCGTCTGTCTCTCCCCTCCCCCATGCGTATGTCTCCCCCCTCCTGCGTCTCTCTCTTCCCCTGCTTGATACCTGGTTGATGGGGTTCTGGGAGTTGTTCTACTCCCCCCAAGCCCGGCCCGAGGCCAGGCTTGACTTGTGAGAGTTTGGTCCACCAGGCTGTTGCTTGCAGCGGCCCGCATGCCCACATACCCACCACAGCCCGGTTGTTCCGGCAATATTTGCCGGAACAAATATCTTCCCTCTGCGTCCTTCTCTCTCCCCCTCTCCTTCGGTCTCTCTGCACAACCCTCATTTCTTGTCTCCGAAACTCTGACTTTCTCTCAACTATCTCCCTCACTCTCACCCGGTTAGCTTCATGCGGTTAAAATAATTCCATAAATCATTGAACAATTAACCCAGCCTAGTTATGGGATCCCCACGTGTCTATGGTAAATAACTAGTCCAAAGTCTCCCGACGTTCATCTTATAACAGAATAATACCTCTTATCCTTGTTTGGTGCAAGTTTTCTTGATATAACTAATATTAACTTTTGTCGAGGCTGTTTTATTAAGTCAAACTCTTGTTAAATTGCATAAATTTCTATTTAGTAAAACGTTTCTCATTAATAAAGAATTACTATATATAATACAACTTGATTTCCTCCTTGTCCCACATAATAATATATTTTGTATCTTTATTCATTCCGCTTTTGAATGGAAAGAATAAGGTATTAAAACCTTACGCATCTTCCATTCTCCGCTTCTTTATTGACTCTTCCCTTGAACTGTCATTTAGTGACGGTTGTTCCTCTTCCGTGTTCCTTGTCCCCAGAGGTCTTCCTTCACCCTGGTGCGAGGACACACACACACACACACACACACACACACACACAACAACACACACACACACACACACACACACACACACACACACACAGGCACACATGACACACCAACACACACACGTGTGTGTGTGAGCCATGTGTGTGTGTGTGTGTGTGCACCCAGAGCCCGGCGTCCCGTCCAACATGGCTGTGTTATAGCTGAATATTGCAGCTCGGGGAGCCCCGGCGTCCGTGCCTGCCCTCTCCACTGTTCGCTAAATTGGTTAATTTAAAGAGGTCCTTCAGTCCTCCGTCTAGTGTCGTCTCTCTCCCCCACCAATCCCTCCAGAGCATCCCTCAAATCTCCCTTCACCGTCCTGTTGTTCATGTGTACGGTGCTATGGACCAGAGCTACATCTAGGTAACTCGGCTCTGCGTCGTGGTAATGGGGTTCTGCGTCGTGGTAAATCGTGGTTCTGCGTCGTGGTAATAGGGGTTCTGCGTCGTGGTAACGTGGTTCTGCGTCGTGGTTAATGGGGTTCTGCGTCGTGGTAACGTTGTTCTGAGTCGTGGTAATGGGGTTCTGCGTCGTGGGTAACGGGGTTCTGCGTCGTGGAGAACGTGGTTCTGCGTCGTGGTAACGTGGTTTCTGCGTCGTGGTAACGTGGTTCTGCGTCGTGGTAACGGGGTTCTGCGTCGTGGTAACGGGGTTCTGCGTCGTGGTAACGTGGTTCTGCGTCGTGGTAACGTGGTTCTGCGTCGTGGTAACGTGGTTCTGCGTCGTGGTAACGTGGTTCTGCGTCGTGGTAACGTGGTTCTGCGTCGTGGTAACGTGGTTCTGCGTCGTGGTAACGGGGTTCTGCGGTCGTGGTAACGTGGTCCTGAAACCAGGCAACGAGATTCTGTTTTATGGCACAAGGATCCTTGTTTACTACGACGCGACCCCCACCATAACACTGCTGATCTCCGTAATGGGCCTGGTGTCACGAGGGAGGGCAGCGGTGTCACGAGGGAGGGCAGCGGTGTCACGAGGGAGGGCAGCGGTGTCACGAGGGAGGGCAGCGGTGTCACGAGGGAGGGCAGCGGTGCCACGAGGGAGGGCAGCGGTGCCACGAGGGAGGGCAGCGGTGCCACGAGGGAGGGCAGCGGTTGTCACGAGGGAGGGCCGCGGGTGTCACGAGGGAGGGTCAGCGGTGTCCACGAGGGAGGGCAGCGGTGCCACGAGGGAGGGCAGCGGTGCCACGAGGGAGGGCAGCGGTGCCACGAGGGAGGGCAGGAGTGCCACGAGGGAGGGCAGGAGTGCCACGAGGGAGGGCAGGAGTGTCACGAGGAGGGAGGGGTGTCACGAGGGAGGCCACGAGGGAGGGCAGGGGTGTCACGAGGGAGGGAGGGGTTGTCACGAGGGAGGGCCACGGGAGGGCAGGAGTGTCACGAGGGAGGGCAGGAGTGCCACGAGGGAGGGCAGGGGTGCCACGAGGGAGGGCAGCAGTAATATTGAACCAGAGCCTCCCTGGTGACATTACTGCTCTCGGTAATAGCACTACTGTCGCCCATAATGGCGTACGACGATCCTCCCATAATGGTATTACATTCCCCTTCATATCACAACGGCCCTACATTACCACCTCAGTTCCCTCCATCTTTTCCAATCTTCACCACCGCCATTACCTACCACCTCAACCACCACCACCTCTACCACCACCTCCTCTACCACCATCACCTCTACCACCATCACCTCAACACCATCACCACCATCCCTCAACACCATCACCTC